TTTGGTTTCTTGGTCCAGGTTTACAAGGTCCAAGCTTTCTATACAATGTTGCATTTTAAAACTTGCTGTTGGTTTTCTGTTTGTTCTCACCTTACCTGTGCAGCCTTGCAGTGGGGATGGAAGGCGGCCCCTCGAGGGAAGTGGTTGGTTTGAGTTGGATGCTGAGCAGTGATTCAAGAAAATAAAAGTTTGGAAATCAAGGCACCAGTCCTGCAAAAGGATACAGAAGGACCTCCAGAGCCCTGTCTGTTGGGCCCCTTGTCTCTGCCAGGTGTATGTTTTTGCAGGACAGAGGGAAGAGTTATAATCGACATGTCCTCGGGTACTGTATGAATATAATTTGGAAATGGAAGGAAAAAATGCAGTTACCCTGTTCAATTTGAGGGTCTATACATTGGCTTTTTTTATTATTTTTTTCCTAATTACTCTGCTTGGGATGCCCATAAAATTCAGACCCTCTTTCCTTACATTCCCTGTTAAATGGGTGGCTGTTTGTAAGTCTGTTTTTACCAGTGACAGTACACTACAGAGGGGCATAACCTCTGTATTTTTTACATTAACTTAAGAGGAAACAAATTTAGATTTTTTTGAAGCCAATGTATTCTGTTGCTCATACAGTGCCTCCTGTGCAATAATCTCTCTGATGTATTTTCCCTTTATGTGTGATTCCCCCACTATTCCCCATTTAGTCTCAGTGCATTATTTGAGAGAACAGGAGCTGCTGCCTCACTGTAGTGTTGATGTGACATTACAGAAGTGATGCAGCAGTTGCTGTTCATTATTACTCCCTGGATTTCATGAATGTATAACCTGCTTTATTTCACTTTCAGTTGGAATTTTATCTACGGGTTCTCAGCCAAATTGTGTCCACTTAAAAAAAAAAAAAAAAAAAGAAATTGGCCAAACTCTTTTGTTTTAAAAGCAGTGATGGATTTTTCTTTTTTTGGTTGCTCTGAAATTGTTTCAGGTTTAGAGAGTGGGAAGTGCACAGAAGTTATTAAGATTTTACATGTGCATTAAAAAGAAAAGCCCCATTCACATTGGAAGTTTAAATTGTACAATTAATCTGAAAGGAGTACTGAAATCTGGCTGCTGAATGTGGTTTTCATACTAGGTATTCAAAGAGCTGTTAAAGAGTTTTTGTTTCTGATCATAGGAAAAAAAAAAATCAGTTTGTTGATCGAAAGAAGATTGGGCCAAGATGTGCAGTTCTTTCACTGTCTTTATTTTCAAGGCATTACAGAGTCATCATAAGGTTCTTGCCAGTGTCCTCTACCTTTCTTTTGGCATCCAAAAAAGCCTCTCAAATATCAGGAGTGTTTTTGTACCAGATACACCAGTGGAAGCGGGAGATGAAAGGAACAGTGGTGGCTTTTAAATTTCACGCTGCCACTTCCAAAATATTCAATATTAAAAATAGGAAAAGCAAGGTGAAGCAGGTATACTCACATTATTTTAACTGTGCTAGTTCCTTTTAACACCTCCTAACCCCAGAGTGCAGCTCCTTGAACACGAACCTCATGTTCATCATGCTGATGGATGCACCGGAACTGTGGCAAGCAAGGAGGATTATCCCTCCCCATTGTGCCTGGCATTGCATCAGGTTTCCAAACAATAAGGGATTTTGGAGATTCATGGCTCAGAGGATTGGTGATGGGATGTTGAACCTTTTTATCTCCAGCTTGTGTGGGTTCAAGTCCAGTCTGCTGGAGCAGCGACCGAAAGTTCTTGTCTCAGCAGCTGGAACGAGCAAGTCCAGCCACACACCAGGTTGTAGAGCTTTGTGGAGCTTCCTCCAGGTTGTGTCTCTGGGGGTGGCACCGTGGCAGGGACAACCTGAGGGTGTGGGTGGAGTGGAAGAGCTCTTGTGTGTGGTGGTGTCTGTTGGCTCCCGTTGAAGCAGAAAAGGTCGAGCCCTTCTGATGGTCGAGCTCTCCAGGGCTGAGACAGGACACACTGGCAGGTTTAAAGCATAAATCTTCTGTTTTGTGACATGAGATTAGGATTTTAAAATTGCTTTCTTTAAAAACAAAAACGAAAAGCAAACTTGGTATTGTTCACTACATTTGTGAGTTGGTCTCAAACCAATATTCTTCCCCACTGAATTTTTACAGTCATATTTTCTAAGGTAATCTAGAGTATATTTTAGTTGCAGTCTATATTAAGGCAAATTATTTGTTCTGTCTGTTGCTGTGACTGAAGAAAATTATGGAAGACTTTGTTGGTAACAAGAATGCTATTTAATGAAGAAATGTGTAATTCCATTATTTATTGTTTGAGGTTTGTTTTTTTGTTATTTCTTTTAAGTAAACTGACATCTAAAGGGAACACACAAATGTTTCAGGCCAGTAAAAAGCCTTTCTTTTAAATGAGTTTTCATCCCCTCCTCTCCCCGAGGTGGAGGGAAGCCCTCACCCTTTTTTACAATGCTAAGCCATCTCTTGTAGCTGGTTTCTCACCTTAATTCTACAAAGCACCTCAGCACACGTGTCTCTGAAAATACTGATAGTCCTGCTCTCTATCTTCAGTTATCCATGTGCTCAAGTGCAAAGGAAGTGGGATTATTCATTGATAATCCTATCCAAATTTCATTAATAGGGAATTTGGTCCTTTTTTTTTTTATTATTATTATTTTCAGTGTTGTGCACAAATAGTTTGAAGGACAAACTGAGCTTTGTTTTTCATTTGGACTAGAATGTGGAAGGAAAAGTGCATAACATGGACTTGTGATGTAGCCTCGTTCCGTTACCTTGAAATTCACGGTTGAACACTTTTAATAAACCTTAAAAAATTGGCAAACACACCAAAGAATCAATATGAGTAAAAGACTCTGATCATTAACAAACTGCAAACCTCATCCTTTAAAACAAAGCAGAAAGTTTTTGTAAATATTTATGTTTATAAATGTACAGCAGAGTAAGAGTGTTTTTTAGATTATTTAATTACCATATTTCTAAACTATTTACATTATAGACAATACTTGTTAGTTTGAAAAGCTCGAGTGGTTTTTTTTGTTTTGTTTTGTTTTGAGTTTGTTTTCTTTTTTTTTTTTTTAAATTCATTATCACTCATGCTTGGAATAACTCTGGCTTCCTTGAAATAGCGTGGAAAATTCAGTTTTCTGGCTCTGGTTGGCAATCATAGGAGAACCACATCTGGACGAACTCATCAGATAAATACCCAGAGGCAAAAGAAAATATGTGGTGTGTTTACCAGGGTGGGCTGGGCTGGATGAAAAACCTGCCCACAAGTCCAGCTTCCATAACTCTGTGTTACTGATACCATCATGTATTTTGTTCTTCCTTTGCAATGTAAGTTTTTTGCTTTGGGTCAATTTGAATTTAAAAAAAAAAAAAAGAAAGAAAAAAGAAAAAAGTTAAACCTGGTTAAAACCTATTTTTGGTTTATGTTCTGTTTATTTCTAATGTAATGTTTTAATAACATAATACCACTTTACACCTTTTCTCTCAATGTTTGTCTCTCTCTTCTGCTCCTGTTCCCTTCTCCAGTGTTACGGATTTTGGGCAGGTGTTTGGGACTCAAATTTGCCCCCACAAATGGGAGTTGTCTCATGAACTGTGAGGTGACTTTCTACCAGTAAATATGAGCATAAAAATCATGGAATGGTTTGGGTTGGAAGGGATCTTAAAGCTCATCCTGTTCCACCTCCTGCCATGGGCAGGGACACCTTCCACTATCCTGGGTTGCTCCAAGCCCCGTCCAACCTGGCCTTTGACACTTCCAGGGATGGGGCAGCCACAGTTTCTCTGGGCAACCTGTGCCAGGGCCTCCCCACCCTCACAGTAAAACAAAACCCACTCTAGAGCTGGGCTTTGGAAGGGGGAACAAACTGGTCCTTACTAGGAGTGGTTGGGTTTGCCCTGCTCAGGTTCCAGCTCAGCCACTTCAGGGTTTTCTGACAGGTTCACCTTTTTCCTCAAGCTCATGTACTGACTAAGATACAAAAATGGACCAAACAGAGGTCATATTTTGGTGTCTGTTTACTACTTATAAAAGTTAGATAAAGGGGATGCACATGAATATTCCTGGCACACAAATTTTAACTGGAACATTCGGTTTTAGTCATGAGAGCAATGCACAACCAAAAGTTGCAGTAAGGTTTTGGATCCTAAAAATTGGGAGTGGAAGGAGACTGGATTTAAAGACATTGCTGCTAAAGGGTAATAGGGAAAAAAATGATGTTTTTCATTGCTCAGTAGCAAAACTACACAAACACCACGGGGAGAACGTTCACTGTCCATCCACCAGTTGTGTTTAGAGCTGTGGATGGTTGTTACTAACACACTGGTCAGGCTTTAGCTGGTCTATTTACTGAATGCTGTGCTAAAGACTTTGTTCCTGTTTATGTATCATATTTCCTGTTTTGAGTGTTCACCTGTTAAGTTTAAAACAATTAATGACTAATGCTCCCATTTAGAAAAACCTGATTTACAAGCTGTTGACAAATGATGTGTTTAGGATACACAGTCTCTATTGCTAGAAGTGGGTGATAGGAAAGTGTACTTATTTTATATGGCAAAACATGGGGGCCTTTTTTACCATAGTAAGAAGAAGATTTGTACCTTTGAAAGAGACATTATCAGAGCAAAGAACAGGCTCTACCCTGTCTTTCCCCAAAATTTATAGTGAAACATATAAATTCTCTTTCCTCTAGTCTCTCCCCCTACTTTGGTTGTGGTCACCACCACCTCAAAGGTGGTGGTTTCTTTGAAACTGGAATAGTATTGAAAGGCTAAATTTTGTTCTTTATCACTGGCATATTGAATCTCTTCTCTGTGATTCTACTTCTTGACTTAATGTCATGAGCCAGAGTAGAGCCCAACATGTGATTTAATCCCATGGCAATAAGAAACAAAGCAGACATATACATTGCTCCATGAAACCATGCTACCAGGAATTCTTCAGCCAGTGCATTCCCCAGGGAACCACAACATGCAGCTGGAACAGCAAAAAGTTGGGATCGAAAGCTGCCTTGGCTTTTATTGGGAAATCTCCAGCTGTCTCGTGAAGAAGTCGGAGCTCCAGCTGTTTCCTCCACATCTGGGATCTCCGGTGCTGCCGACGGCTGTTTGTGGGGTCCCAGGTAAGTTTTGAATGTCTTCATGTTTGCAAGGAGGATGTTTGGCACAGAGGTGCTTGTGAAGGGTCTGAAAGAGTTTCTGTGCCTTCTCCGGGCAGGTTTCTCTGTGTGGTGCAGTTTGTGTAGACTTAAAACAAGTGTGTTTGAGAGTGATGGTGCTGCAGGGTCAGTATTTCCCACACTTGGACTGGATCTGTTGCAGTGCTTTTGCAGACTCCTCAGCATCCATGAAATACCCCTAAAAGGTCTGGGAAAGGTGAATGAAAATCAAGCTTATAGGCAGTAGGTTATACAAGGGGAAATGCTTTTAGCAGAGAATTTAGGTCTGTAAGTAACTGATCCACAGCAAAGAGCATCTATTCTTTGTTACAAAGAGCACAAAATTGGCCATAACTCTTCTTATTCTGACTTGCAAAAATAGGGTTTACTTGCAGTCTGAATACGCTGCAAATACATCAGATCATCTTGTGTTCTGTCACAATTAACTAGAAATTAATGGAAGTGTTCTGCTAAATTCTGTCCTCATTTCTGACTTACACTGTTCTAACTCCTCTGAAGGTGGTGGTTACTCAACATTTAATCTAGTGTGAAAGAGCAACTAATTGATTTGGTTGGCCAGCTTGCAGTCCTGCTCCTTGTTTTATGGCCTAATGAGGAGAGTATTTTTGGAAGGTATTTGCAGAACACTTTGTGAAGGAGCAGTAGGAGGGATTCCGTGGTTGGGGCCAACTTTATAGGCAACCAGTAGACAATTTTTTTTTTCTCCCTAAAAGCATGGCCTCTTTGATAGAGTTGCTTAAATACTTTGATATCTAGTCCAGAATTGGTGGGAGACATTTCAGTTTGATGGTCCATTCCATATCTTGAGTAACCTAATTTATCTGCTTATTTTCTAATACAGCAGATTAAAGTAGATTTGCAATGAAATGTAAATTGATTTTATTTTAAAGGCTTAATTAATTTTAAAGCCATTAGAGATTAAATTTTGTATATTTTAAGATAGCAACAGGTTCTTCTTTGGTGAGTGGATTCTTGCTTGCAATCTACATTCACAATGTGTTTAAAATACAAGATGGTGAGTTTGAGTAGCATCTGTGGGCTGGAACAGTCAAAGCTGCCCTTGTCCATGATAAGTCAAAGCCTAAAGTGATGCTGGAAAATGTTACATGTCTGTGTCCTGACCAGTTACAAGCCAATTTTATGTGATTTTTAGGTTCTCATTTGTTCCTACCTGGCTATTGCATTTTCAAAGAATCATAGAAATTTAGATTCAGCTTCACCCAAGTGCTTGAGTTTTAAACCTCAGAGTGCCCAACTGCAGGATGTGGGTTATGGACATGTGACTTCCAAGCTGTGCCTGTCTCAAGCAGCTCAACTTGAGATCCATCCCCTGGCTCTCTGGATGTTGCTCATCTCGTAATAGGTTTTAATATAGCTGCTAGAAAGCAAAACCAGATAATTTTTAGAGAGCAGTCAGTCTGAAAATAAAGGGATCAGGATGTTTGGTAAGAAGCTGAAGTTTACATGTGTGTGGGATTGTGTGTGAGAGAGAGCAGAAAACATGGCTTTTGATCTTACAGAAATGTTTGGTATGTGGGTTGTTGGGCTCAGAAGTTTGAATGTCCTTAATATAAAATAATCTGTGTGAGTATTTGAGTCTGTTCCTTTTTGACTTTGTGTGAGCTATTTAATGGTTAGTGAGCCAGAAAAAAACCACTGTGTTTTCTGATGGTTCAGGCACCCTCCTGATGAGTGGAAGACTTGAATTAAAGTTCCCACTCTGAACCAGGCAAAGCAATTAAGGGATGGGGATTTGCACTTGCATTCCCACCTCTTAGTGCTGTGATTACAGGTTTGTTAAAATTGTACCACAGACAGAGAGCACAACAAAGCTGTTACACAATCTCCCAGGCTGACCCTGGAAGTCCTTCAAAGCAGGTTCCTTCAGAGCAGTCTCTTGTTCTTGTGAACAAATGACTGAAGCTCGTGGGGCTTTTTTGTTCCTGCTCACCTGCAATCTACCTGGGAAAACTAATTCTGGCCTCTTCTGGTTCCATGGGCACCTTACCTGCAGCTCTGGTGTGTTTGTATTTAGATACCATGTCCTTGGAAGTGTCCAAGGCCACGTTGGATGGGGCTTGGAGCAGCCTTGGATGGCAGGGGGGGTGGAATGGGTTGAGCTTTGAAGTCCCTTCCAACCCAAACCATCCTCTGATTCCATGGGCACCCACCTCCTTCCAGTTCTTGTCTTTCATATCAGTGCTGACTTGCTCTTCCTCTTCACAGCCTGTCTTCCACACCAGCTCACTGAGGAGGACAGGGAATGATGAGACATTCCTTGCTCCAAAAGAAACCATCCCTAGTGGATGTAGTGGTGTCTACATGAAAAAATCTAATGCAATGCGAGTTTTTGTGGAACTGCTCAGGACTCCTAATACTTTGTTTTTATTTTATTTTAATCTGTTTACTTGGCTAAAGACTCAATACTTTTTTTTTTCATAAAACCAAAATACCTTACCCTGCATTTTCACTGACTTCAGTCCCGATGTTTCATTCCAGATCACTGATTTATCTTATGTTTTTTTTAAGACTCTAACACTTAGCAAATTTCTTCCTCATCACAACTAGTTGCTCTTTTAATGAATCAAACTGTTTAAGGGCAAAGCAAAATCTTGTAGTGACATACCTGCATTATTGGTACTATATCCTGTAACTCTGCTTTTAACTTGTTCATGTCCAAGTAAATTAAATTAAGGGGCTTTTTTAGGAGTCTTGTCAGTTGTTTTCAACTAATAGTAGAAAACACTTTAATGATTCTTTGAAAGATGCCCACATAGGGACAGTTTCAGTCTTATCTGATAAATAGCTTCAGATGCCCTTTGCTGCAGATTGAGCCTTGTGGTTTGTGTTTTCTTCTTCCCAAGCCTGAGTACAACACTGATTATTTTTCTCCTCAAGACATTTTGCCAAAATTTTTGAAATCTGCCATTTTGAGCAAAGAAAACTTGAAGTGCTTTCACAATTCATTGATCTTCCTTCAGTCTTGATAAGAGTACAGCTTTTAATGACAGTAGACCCCTTGTTTTAAAGGGCATTTTTAGTGCCCCCTATATTTTGCCCATATGTTCAATGTCTTATCCAGTACTTCAGTAATTTGTAGTTACCATGTCAATAAAGTGGCTTTTTAGCAGATAGATGTAGCCTAACAGTTATTAGTTATATTGGTATATACAGCTGAACTTGCTGGCTTTGAGTATTTCCTGTGCTTCATAAATACTTGTATAATCTGTTGTGCAGGCTCAGCTGTTCTTAATTCTAATGTGATTCATATTGTGCTTAGAAATCTGACATTCTTGGCTTGTCAGAAATATTAATATATGTTAGTGCCATATCTATTGAAAATTGACATGTTTTGTGCAGGGCCTTAATTTTCACTTCTTTATATTGCAGCATTCCATGTTGAGCAATGTGTCTTTGTTTGATTTTAAATTTCCCACTCACCTTCAGCCCTGAGAAACCAGAAATAATTAGATTATATCTTTCTCTTGGCTCGCACAGCTTTCACTTGTAGTGAATTATGCCATGCAAAACTATCCCTCCAGTGAGAATTTGGTTGTCATTGTTAGGAGCTACATCTGGACTGTGTAATACTTGGTACGTTGCACTACAAAGGCTCGGAGTCAGCAAGTAGGAATTGCTCTTTCCTCCAGCAAAAGTGCCACACTTCACCTCCCCAGGCCCTTCTGCTGTGGACAAGGCTGTTGGACAGACAAAAATGCTGCTCTAAACCTCCAAAACTGGCATAAGCCTGACTCTGAGCAGCCAAAAGTACTATGGGAATGGTGACAAGTCCTGTTTCTTCAGTGGGTGACGGAAGACCAGAAGGGAAGTTCAGACTTCCATCTACTTGAGCCAAATAATTTATCCTGAAAACTGGATGAAAGTTCAGCTTCAGGGGAGAAGTTTGAATGCACCTTTAGGGTCTGTGTAGTGGCAAATGAAAAGCCTTTTCTGTTCAGCCCCTTCTGTATTTAATTACCCAACCGCAGAGGAGCTGAAGCTTTTGTTTCCAGGTTGAGTCCTGATTTCAGCTGGGAAGTAATGAATGTTACTGTCTCTCTGTACAGTCTTTCATCCTGCTGATGATATCATTTTCTTGTGTAATCATGGGAGTAGTAAATGATTCCTATTCAGACTTCCTCTTTAAAATCAGCCTGAGAGTTCCCCACAGTCCCCACACTGGTTTTGTTGCTGTCATCTGTCATCTCTCGTGCCACGCTCTTTTTTGGGTATGTGCATGGTACAGACCCACCAGTTCTTTACTGAGGCTGATTCTGACAAGGCACTATAAACCCAAACCTTCTTTGGAGGGTTCTCTTGGTTGTGAAAAGCAGCAATACCACTTGGCTGCCCAGCAGAGAACACAAAAAATGCGTGACCTTTGGGTTTGGGTGTTTGCTTGGAGTTTTTTTTCCCCTTCAGGGTGAAGAGAGCATCAAGTGCACCAAGCAGAAGTGCCCTTGCAGAAACCTTGGTGGTTGCTCTACTTCCTCACCCAATAAATTTTTCCTTGCTTTAGAGCCATACTCAGAGCTGGTGCTGGGGGAAACACTCTGGTTGAACCATAAAGCTGGCCTGATGTTGAATTGAGACAGCAATTAGGTGCTGCCATTTTCTGTCCCCACAGAGGAAAATGCACAGCTTGAAGCTTCATCTCTCTTAGTTTCCTGTCCTTGTCCATGTCCTCTCCAATCTCCTTTCCCCACATAAATTACAGCATCAGCAAAGTCAACTATTCTGCATCAAAAAAAATCCACTTTGAATTAAAACCCTGAATGACTGTTTTATGTACTATTAAGAAACTCAGGGTTTTATTCTAGCGTAAATGAGGTCGGGATACGGCTCCACAGCTGTCTGTCCATCTCTGGCAGCAGGATCTGTTCCAAGGGCAGGAGATGAGCCGACGCTCGCTGAAGTTCCCCTGACTCATCTGCCTTACCAGAACATCCCACAGCACAGAGACATCGTGATTTTAAGTAGCATTAATTCTCGAAGTGGCTCCTCACAGCTGCCTCTTATTCGTGCCGTGCACAGATGTGAGGTTACAGTACAGTTCTTCCCCCAAAATGATGGATTGCCATCCTGACCTCGACTTCTGCTCCTACGGAGGTTCACGGCCATAAAAACCACTTTGTTCAAGAGCAGTGGCTGTAACAAATAAGCTTAACGAAACCATCGCTTTTTCACTTTTACTGATTCCACTCCTCTGCCTCATGACAGAGGTTCATGCAGAGAACGAGATTTCAGTGATGTCATTTAAATCCCCTTATCCTTGTCTAATTAAACTGAATGCCTTAAAGATGATTCATATCGCTTGACACCTTTGCAGCAAAATGCTCCTTCTTTTAGATGGAAAGGGAAGGAAAAATGCAGATTAGAGACTTGAATGGGTCTTCCTTTCACTTGCTGAAAAAAGGGACAGGTTTGGGTTTTAGGTATTTGCTTGAACTCTCACTAGAAAGCATTTTAGTTTTCCGATGTCTGGTGTGATGGTAGCCAGGTCCCAGATACACAGTTTCCCAGAAGATGTTTCTTAAATGGATAAGCTCAAAAGCTGTAATGATAACTCCTGTTTCAGTGTAGAACAGCTTCATCACCTGTTGCAGAGGAGCACCAAGTTGTTTTGGAGGTTGTGACCTCACCCTTTGGCATGAACACCTTTTGACATGTTGGTAAGACCCAGGACTAGGTACAACCTTCACTCAACTCCATCCCCCATCTCCCTATGCTTCCAACTTTCCTGTCTTGGGAACTTGGTGTACTCAGTGAAGAAGTTGATGGGAAGGGGGAGCAGGACTCTTTGTTTCCCCCTCCACAGATCAGTTGTGGTCTTGTGGCAGATTCTTTCGGCTTTTATAGCTCAGTCAACAAAGGCACACTGAAATGAAAGTTTTCTGCCACGTAATGAATTCTTCTTCCTAAACTCCCAGGAATAATGACTTGGTTTTGCATAACATTTTGTGTGCTGTCCCTTCCAGCAAGTGTGGTGGGAGCAACAAAGGCAGGGTTGAAAGATGCGATGGGTTCCCTTCCTCCTCATGGCAGGACTTAATGATATAAAGAGCACAGTATTTCATTGATGTTTGTTGCCATTTCTGCTTGTGGGCTTTTCACAATACTGTGGTCAGGAAGATGACAAGATAAAGGATGACTGGTGTAGATCTGCTCCCTCTTGTAGAATAGGAATAATTCCCTTCTCTGATTATATTTCCTCTCCCCTCCCTTGGAAAAGATGACTCAGAAATCCATGACAAAGGAAATAAGTTAATTTGAATTTCTATTGAACCTTGAAAAGCTGCTTTTATGAAGTCCTGTTTGGAGGCTTTCAGCAGTGGCCTTTGACAAGAGCAGAAGGCAAAACTGAAACTCATGGTCCAAATACTCCGGTGTCAATGGGTTGCCCTTGGCTCTTACACAGTATTGCAGATGGAAAATGAGACCATTACTCACTCTTGGGGGTATGCTGCGGAATTCGAGTCCTCAATAGCTGTAATAGTAGGAATCTCTACCATACAAGGAAAATTACTGTAAGCTAATTGAAAAAAAAAAAAAAGCCAACAGAAATCTGCTTTTCTCTATTTGGAGGTGAGAGAACAAGGAACCGGCTGAATGTGATGACTTATTTCCTTGTGCCTTCACAAAATTTCTGATGCTCTTCTAAGTAAGAATTTGTACATCCAGCCTTTATTTTTGACAGTGTGTTCAATGGCGATTGTATGTACTCAGAAGAAAGACTTCTTTTTTCTCCTTTGAAGCAGCATCACTCAGAACAAAAGTCTCCAGCAGATACAGAGACGAAAACGTGTCTGTTCAGCCCTGTGCTGCCTGTGTTTCAGGAGCAGAGTGGCTGTTCTCTGTGCTCAGCATGATGTGAAAACGTGTGTGGTGCTGAAACCAAGAGCAGCGCTTCTGTAGCTACGATATGAATGTAGAGTAGGTGCATCTGCCTGAACAGACCATCACTGATTGCACCACCGGGCTTTTTATGCCAGAAGAAACTCTGCTTGCCCTTGTCAAAAAGTTAACATTTAAGTTACCGCCAGGTTTGCAAGTGTTGTTCTGAATTCAGCGTAAATCTGTTCTTGCCCCAAAGAGCCTCCATTGTCTACGCTCTCTTACTATGGGACATTTTGTTACTATTGTAGAGCAAAGATACTGGTTCCTTCAGCTGAAAAACTTTGGGTTTTCTTAATGTAAGGCTTTAAATCCAGCCAGATTTTTTTTCCCCCAAGAGGACCCATGAGTGTGCGAAGGGAAGTCACTTCACGCCTCAGGGTTTCCATGTGTGCACCTTGATGGGTGTTTGAGCCCTGCTTTCTTCTTCCCCTTCCCATCCTAAAACACCTTCTCTGAGGGCTAGAAAGGAAAAGCTGTTTCTGCATTTTTCATCTTCTGTAGGGTAATCAGAGGCTTTAAAAAAGGTGATTAAAAAATATTGTCTCAAGCCGAGTCCTATTTGTTAAGCAATATGAAAGACAGAGATGAGATTAAGAGTAGGCTCGGGCTGTGATTTCTTTTGAAAGTGATTCAGTGCAGAAGAAAACAATTGGCACATTGTCATTTTAGTTGTGCAAGATACAATTTTTAAATAAATCCCCTTTCCCTGATAACTTTGGCACTGAGCTGCTCATTTTGGTGCTGGTGTTGTGTGCTGCTGTCACACAGTTCAGGCTGCCCAACTCTTTGTGGGTTGCACTGGATATTCAGACTTTGCTCTCCATAACTCATTCTGCTGAGCTATTACTGATACCAACAGTTTTTCTTAGTTAATACAACTCAGGATAATGTGGCAAGTCTTTATTTTTTCCCTTTCAGTAGATTGTCTTGAAAGAGAAGTTCTGAAGAGCAACCCAGTGTGTCTTTAGAAGATGTCCACCTGGTCTTGGGTGTGAGTACAGAGGTCTGGACCCAATGTTCAACAGCAAGGTAATCTCTGAAGTTTAGTAAAATCTCTCAGAGCTCAGGCTGTCAAGTTATTTCAGTAAATCAAGTTGCTCTGCACTGGATTAACTGTATATTTTTAAAAGCCATTTTTAGTGCTAGAGAAATAATGTCACGTATGATAGTCTGGTTCTGTGTCTCTTTTATTTAAACAGTTCTCAAAATAACAGGTGGCAATAGGAAGGCAAATAATGGGAATGATATGAGGCCATGCCTTGAGAAATACTTTTTTCTTGCATCAACATTGGAGTTTATTTCTCCAGGGTTAAAATCTGACAGGTCGTTTCTGCACTTTTTTCCTAATTTCATGCCAGTCTGCATCCATGGAACTCAGCACTCACTCTCTGTAGCTTGTTTATCTGGCCCAAACCCTGACATTGCTACTATTGAAAATACTTCTGTTTCGTTAAAAATGAGATGGGGGAGATTTTGCAGATAATCCTTAGACAAGGTCACTTTTGGCATTTTTTTGAGTGAATTATTTTTGTGGCTCTCATGGTGCTGAATAGACAGAGGAGCCCGTTGGAGGCCTGGGAATCGGGGCTGGATCTCTGCTGGAGCTGCTCACGGGGTCCTTGCCCGCGCAGGGGACAGGGCACAGTGTCACTTGGCCCTGCCACGGCTGCTCCTTTCTCATGGCTCCCCTCAAAGGCTGGCCCTGAATTTTCTAGACTAAACATTGGAGCTGTGTAATGGCCACGAGGGTCAGGGAGGACAAGAAGGACAAAACGGGTTCAGACTGGGAGGATTTCCCTGGAACTTGTGCATGTCTGGTAGAGTCTTTAAAGATGTATAATCTCTATAATGGAGCCTGCTCTTAATTAGCAGTTTGTTTTAATATGAACATTTGCATTTTGAATTCTACCTTCCAGCTCATGTAACTCAGGGCTGTGTATTTGCAGCAGTTCCCTGAATCCTAAGGGTTTTCCCCTTTTCCCCTCAAAGGGGGGGTTTCTAACACTTTTTTGAATATAAGTACAGTGGTTTAATGGATTATTCCCTTCTTGGGTTCACTTCAGGCAGTTGTTTGCATGCACTCTTTTTTGTAATAACAAAATTAAAGGGTGTGTTAAAAAGACTTACAAGCAGCAGATGAAGCAATAAGCAAGCAAAGAGCATTTGTATGCAAATGCTCCAAGTGCTTTGTTGTGTCCTGGGATCTGTTAGCCACCTTCATGCTTCCAAAACTCCATCCCCATCGGCCCTTTGTGCTGAGACTTTGTGCCAAAGCCTGGGGAGGTCAGTGGGTCTCCCACCACCCCTGGTGGGCTTCAGACTTGGGGATGAGAGAGGAAAGCAGGAAGTTACCAACCACTCTGA